AGCTGCTTAATGGATAACTATTTGATGCTGCTCCGCAGTGTGTTTAAAGGGTGATTCTTCTTTGTTGCTTTGAGAGCTCATTTGACATTCTAAAAATGGATGCAATTTCAAAGGGTAGCCAAAATGTATCAATTAGCCTGACATCTAGGTCTCTTTAACAGATCTATAAATTTCCAATTTCCTTTGCCATCTTAACCATGCTAAATCATCTTGAACAAGATCATTCTTTTGAACAACAGCCTTCTTATTAGCTGAGATCAATCGAGATTAGAAAATGAAAAATACTCCAGACGCTGAGAACTTTTTTATGAAACCACATTTGTAGGATGAATATTGAATGAAGATTAATGTGTTATTTTCAGCTTCTAAATCATTGATTTACAAATTTCTTTTCTACATCTCGCTGCTGGATTAAACACTAATGTATGCGTGGATGGTTTACTTGCTGGCACGCATTATCTTTCTCCCACTGAATTTATATATTAATGGAAGGGAATGACTTTTAATTTTAAATGTGCTTTGCTTTGCATACCACATATGGTTCTAAAAGTGCTACACATTACACTGGGTGAAATAGTTTTCTGTTGAATTATAAATCATTGACTAGATTCTTCATTTTAACTATTGATTGATTTTTATCTCTTTGGATAAAATACGGGGCCCTTAGTGCGTGTATAGACCCCATGTGATCTGAACTCTGTGAGCCTTTGAAGGAAATCTCACCAATCCTTTACTATGAACTTCCTTCAAACTCTAATACTACAGATGGGCAATATTTCCACATATTGTGTATAATGTATATTGTATTACAATTCTCTTTAACATTCTTCCATATCATAATACAAATACTACTTTCTTAATTGTTTGTCTTCCCTTAACAAGAATGTAGGCTACAAAAATACACTCAAGGAGTTGTAGAGCTTGTTCAGTGATGAAGAATACTTATTGCGCCGGGTGGTGGTGGTACACACCTTTAATCCAAGCACTTGGGAGGCAGAGGCAAGTGGATCTTTGTGAGTTCGAGGCCAGCCTAGTCCACAGAATGAGTTGCAGAACAGTCAAGACTACATGGAGAAACTCTGTCTCAAAAACAACAACAAAACACACACACACACACACACACACACACACACACACAGAGAGAGAGAGAGAGAGAGAGAGAGAGACAGAGACAGAGACAGAGACAGAGACAGAGAGTACTTATTGCTTGTCTAAGTTAGGGTTAATATTGTGTGATGAAAGACCATGACTGTCTTAGTTAGGTTTACTTACTATTGCTATGATGAAGGTGATTCTTAAAAAAAGAGAGCATCTAGTTGGGGCTAGCTTACAGTTCATAGGTTTACTTCATTATTAACGTGGCAGGAAGCATGGCAAACACAGGCAGACATTGTGCTGGAGAGAAAACTGAGAGTTCTACAGTAGGATCTGAAGGCAGCAGGAAGAGAGAGGGAGACACTGGGCCTGGCTGAACATTTAAAACTTCAAAATCCATTCTCAGTGACGCACTCCCTCCAATTAAGCCAACCTACTCCAACCTACTTATTCCTTGTCAAGTAGCACCACTCCCTAATGACCAAGCATTCAGATCTATGAGCCTAGGGAGCCATTCTTATTCAAACCACCAGTTACCAAAAGCAACTTGGGGAGGAAAAGATTTGGCTTACATACCCTGAGTCATAACTAATTGAGGGAAGTCAAGGCAGGAACTCAAATGAAGGCAGTGTTGCTTACTGGCTTGATCCTCGTGGCTTGCTCAGCCTGCTTTCTTCCCTAATCCAGGACCACCAGCCCAGGGATGGCACCACCCACATGGGCTGAGCCCTCCTATATTAATCATTTATTAAGAAAAATGCCCGACAAGCCCACCTACAACCCAACCTTATGGAGGCATTTCCTCAACTGAGGTTCTCTTCTCTCAGATGACTCTAGTTTGTGTCAAGTTGACATAAAACTAGTCAGCACAGAGTTCTATCATGAGGACCAGAGTTAGGATTCCAGCATCCAAATTGAGTGGTTTACAAATACTTGTAACTCCAGCTCCAAAGGATCTGACTCTCTTCTGGCCTTTCTCCCAGCATGCACACCTGCATACACACTCAGAGATAATAACAATACAAATAAATCCTTAAAAAATCCACTCAAAAAAATGATGACTAAACAGATAAAGACATTTCTTTTACTGGGGCATTAATTTCCTTGTGCAAATTTTGGCGACTTCTATTCATTTTTCAAATTACAGATTATTTTTCACCTTTTCTCCCAACCTCTTCTTTGATTTCTTGACAATATCTGTTTTCTTGATTATTTGTTTTCATAATCTACAGATTTCTCCTAAAAAACTGTTAGAGCTTTCCTTTACCATTTTGTTTAATTTCTGGGTTCTCTCCTAAGCTGTAAGCTCTGTAAAAATAGAAAATAACTCTGTTTGTTCTTAATTATATCCCCTAATATCTATACCATATAGAGATGGTCTGTGTGTATCTGATAGATGAAAATGTGGATGAGAGCTGGTTACATAGCTCACTATCCTTTTGGTTCCCATGTTCTGACTGTTCAATGTTCTCTCAGAACCACTACCAACAAAAAAATATGCAATTGGTAAACCACCGGATAATGTTTTAATATACCAGATACATTTCTATTTAAGTGTACATGTACTCAATAATGTTTATAGTATCCATTACTTTTTTAACTCAAAAATTTTTGAGACTTTCATATATAAGTACTGTATTTTCATCATTTCCAGCCCTCAACTTCTCCTGCGTCCCCTCAACTCCCTCTCAAGTTCATGACCATATATGTGTGTGTATGTATGTATGTATACATACATATACATAGCCATATGTGTATATATGTATATATATGTATGTGTATATATATGTATGTGTATATATATACATACATATACATGTATGTGTATGTATATATACATATACATACATATAAATGCTGAGATCATTTAGTGTTGCTTGTATGTATATGTATTTAGAGCTGGCCAATTGGGATTGGCTAACCCTCACCCCAGATGAAGCTCTACATGCTATTAATAGTTGCCAAGAGAAGGGTCAGTCATTTCCATGGGTGAGCCCCCTGATAGCATCTATTACTTTCAAGGCCTCATAACAACCCCTTCTTTCCCTTCATTTCACATTATAATTAATCAAACGTTTAGTGAATTTCTCTTTTGGATCAACTGGGGGTGCTGTATTTATAATGAAAAGAACATAATCTTACTATGTAGCCTAGGTTAGCTTGCTTGGACTATAGAAGCACACCACCAGATTTCACTGGGAAAACCAAAGAGTGAAGATTTAAGCCTGAACCAGCTCTTCCATTTTGATAGTCTGTGTGAATTTGGCCAATTCACACTCAGTTACCAATTGACTCTAAGGTACTTCATTTATTGGAGAAAAATAAACTATTTTTCATCCTTAGATGTGTGGTCTTGAGGAAGCTTCACAAAGGTACTTTTGTTTAGTTAAGTATGCATTAACAGTTTTTTTTAAAGCTGTTTCCAATAAACCCACAGAAATAGCTATTTTCTCAAGTTTATCTACAGATGAAGGATCATGCGTATGGTATGTGTGAACACAGTGGGTGCTCAAAAGATTACAACTGTCATACAAACTTTAAAAGGTGAGTCCCTAACCAACTTGATTTCCCAACATCTTAACCTTAGAAGACAGCCAAGAAAGGTGAGGTCAAGTGACCAGCAGTGGGAACAGCTGCATGATAAAATGTGATCAAGGAAACAAGTCCGGAAAAAATGTTCTAGGGGCTTTTAGATAATTAACAAAGATACCGGAACATTTGGATACATACCAAATTAGAGCAAAATGTATGTTACTAATTATAATGCTTTAGATGGACAGTAGGAAATGATAGGGGCTTGTGGCTATTATAGTTAGTTCCTCTGTGTGTGTGTGTGTGTGTGTGTGTGTGTGTGATACTAGTAAATCCCAATGTTGAAGTTTTTGCCAATTTTCTGCTAGACTCACCAATGTTGGATGAAAATGGATTAATTTGCTGTGATGGCATTCAACACTGGCTTACTGTTTTTAGACATCAAGGTGAATTCGTCAATGATGGATGCTGTCTTTAGCAGTAGTCTGTTTATGATCACATATAGACTCTGATGAGTCTTTGAAAGCCAGAGCATAGACTAACTGCCATGGGCCATTTCTTGGCAGTGCACTTCAGACAGGTTTTCAGTTGTATTCTAGCATTTGCCCAAAGACTTTGCTTGCTCCCCTGCACCCCCAAGAGGTGGGGTGACAAAATGACCATGGAGTAAAGATGATATTATTTTCTCCAAGTATTTTCTACTTTCTGTTACTTGGATTTTTATGGAAAGGTGATTGACAAAGGTCCAAACACAAGAGTAGCCCCATTTAAGGTTCAGATACACAACAATGACACTGTAAGCTTGGCATTCCTAATTACAGAGGTGATGCGACCACCACGCGCATACAAAAGTCCTGCCATTAAGAAAAGAGGTGGCCGCCATCTTCCACCCACTTGAACTCTTGTGGAGGTCACCTGATCCCAAAGGGTAGTCAAGTACACATCAGCCTGCCTGATGGCACAAATGCAGAGCCTATCAGAGCATGCCCAGCCTCTTCTGTGCCCACACCTTCACGATGGGATAGGTCAGTGTCCTGGACGTGACACACTTAGAGGAACGTGACAGAAGATTCTTGGTAAGATAGAGACTAGAGACAGGAACACTGAACTCTCTCACACTCTCAAAAAAACACTTTGCATATCCAGGTGGACCCCCTGCACTCAGGCCCACAGCCTTTCAGGCCGGGTCAGAGGCCCTTGGAACGTGGATTTGCTTTTCTCCAAGCCATTTTTTTTTCTCAGCAGTCGCTCCTGGATGTGTCGCTAGCGAGGATAAAACAGTCCCTCACTTCTGGCCAACTTTTCTCGGCTCCCTGACTCCCAGAGGGCTGTGGCGCCGGTCGCCCTGCCTCCTCCCGGGTGGCCATCCGAGGGCGGGGCCGAGGCGGGCCAGGAAATGCCCGGGAGTGGGTGTCACCTGCTGAAACAACTTGTTGACTCCCAGGAGCACGGCCAGCTCGGTGCGTGGCTCACCTGTCCCCAGCGCGCAGGGCCGCTCGCCCCCCACTGCCCAGCCATGAGCAAGTTGGGCAAGTTGTTCAGAGGGACCCGCTCCTCCCGGGCCCGCGCCGCTCCCAGCCCCCAGGAGGCCCTGGCCCGCCTTCGGGAGACCGAGGAGATGCTGGCCAAGAAGCAGGAGTACCTGGAGAACCGAATCCAGAGGGAGCTCGCCCTAGCCAAGAAGCACGGCTCCCAGAACAAACGAGGTAGGCTGCGCCCCAGGCCAGGCCGCTCTCACCCACTCCTGCCCTGGGGACCATCTCCAGCTAGGCGCCTGTGTCCCCCTAGGCCATCTGGCTTGCCTTTCGAGGAACTGACCTGCCCCCCAGGCCCTGGTGATTGAGACACCTAAGCCAGGCACCTGCCAGGCAGGCATTATGCTCAGCTCCAAAAATCCCAGTAATCTCGATGAGCAACATTTGTATGTAATATTTAAATGACTTAAATCAATCTATGATGAACCTGAAATCAAAACTTTGAAGTCGGGATGAATATTACTGATCATTTTCTCTTGTCTTGGGCTCATGTCTTGGGTTTTAATGGTACTTCTTTATTAAAACTCTTTTTTTTTATGTGATGTTTTGCTCATTGTCATTTTGTGTATTTTTTTTGGAGTTGTAAGAATATTGCATCCAAAGGAAGTTTAACTTGTGACTGCGTTTTCTGGATCCCCTTGGATTTTACCCTTGGTTTCCCACTTTCTAGCCTGGCTATGTTGACTATACATATCAATTTTCTCTTGTATGTTTATATTCAAGTCACACATGCAGCTTATGTGTAAATAAATCTCTGGGGAGGCATGCTCTAATATACTCTGGTTTATCTTGCTCCTCTGCTATTGAAAACTTCAGTTGTCTGTTGTGCAGTCCAATCTTAAAAAAAAAAAAACCAACAACAAAACAACAGAGTCAAGAATTAAATATTAAGTTTCCTATCACTGGCTGTTAGTCCACACAAAGGACTTTGAGTCAATAATGACTGTTGATGAGGCTGTCACACCTTGAACCTTTTGCTCTATGTCAGAGTTCGCTGGTTTGTTCAGCATAGTGCTCTGTATAGGAACAGGCCTGGCCAGCACCTGGGTGTTCATAAAAACCCAGGGAGGAAAGGAAGTGATTTGCTCTTAATATCCGGTTGGTGGAGAACCCTGCACTCGAAGTGGCAATGACCGCTTCCCTATAGCTCTGAACAGTTGTGACCCCATGTCTGGCTTCTTTACCATATCCGTGGTTTGGGGGAAGTAGAGACCTCCCCCCCTCCTCCCCATGCCCATCCTCTGCTCTCCATCTTTTTCCTCTGTAGTCTTGGGGGATCCCAAGAACAGAACCCAGTGCCTCATGCATGCCAGGCAAGTGCTCTACCCTTGGGCCACACCCCCAGTCCAGGTTAGTCACAGGGAAGCCTTGGGAAGAATTAGCTCATCCTTGTGATGCCTCTTTGGTTCAGCGCAGGAAAGCAGTGATGCCTCAGGGAGCTGAGCTTGAAAACTCCACCCCCATAAGAGTGGGCCTGATACACACGCTCTTGTTACCTGCGATGGAAAGGCCAAGTTTCATTCTTCTCTGTTATTGCCTGTGACTTTTGCCACAGTGCAGTACGGCTTAGAGCTAAGGACTGGTTTCTATTTTTATTCCATGTTGAAAAATATTTTGGGAACTTATTTGGCGGCACTTGCTAAACAGAGACCATGCCATTATGGCTGGCTAAAAGTCAGTGGTCACGCTGTGACTCCACCCTTCCTCTTAGTTGGTTGTGCACTCCTAGGACTTGCTTAGTGTCTGTCAGAGCACAGACACCTTGCCGTTTATTTGGAACTCTGTGTCCCTTTGTTTCCAGTGGTAACTCAGTGAATATCTATTTAATAATATGGGAAGTTGAACATCTGCTTCTAGGAATTTGTAAAAATTGTGAATTTGCTTATGGAGGATGAAATGTAACATAATATGGATCATATAGAATGAGATGTAACATAATATGGGTTATATTGGTTTCCAGAGATGCTCTTCTAAAGTGTATCACATGATAAACAAGGACAGAACGTTTGAAGGGAATGCTGAGTACCAATCCAGCTCCCTTACATTAGGGAAGTTATAGATGCTCTTGTGAGCAAGTAATTCATTGGAGACAAAATTGATTTATCATTGAGATTTGTGAGTTCACTGATGTTAGACTGAGCCTGGGCCCCAATGGCTCTGGGATTAAGCAGAGGCTGGCTTCCTTGAGACCATCTTTAATATAAAGCTATGGGATGAATTCAGCCACAAGTCTGTGCATTAGAAGCACCATCAACATATTGTGTCTCCCAAATAAACCAGATCGCTTTCCAGACACGCAGCCATTCCCTTCCATTAGCCACTAGGAATGCTTTCAGACGTATAGGAAAATAAGATGCTGCAACACTGAGTGCTAAAAGGTCCCCATGCTGCACAGTGACTGCTAGACCAGCTGTAATTTGCACAACCATCAGAGAGATACAGTGTGTTTTTTGTGGAAGCTTTGCTTCTATAGCTAGCCACCTAATGTGTCAGCATCCTAGCTGAATGGCCAGGGAGCATGACATCAGAAACCACAAGTTCTCCAGTGATGAATGTCTCTACACCATCAGAAGCTTTGGCAGCATTGTGAGTACCCGAAGAGAGCTTAGCATTACTGGTGAGATGAGTAACATCTATTTGTTTTATTTATCTATCATCTATCTATCTATCTATCTATCTATCTATCTATCTATCTATCTATCTATCTATCTATCTATCTATCATCTATCTAACTGCCTATCTATATCTATCTATCTATCTATCTATCTATCTATCTATCTATCTATCTATCTATCTATCTATCTATCTATCTATCTATGACTTGGAATTCTCTATGCAACAGTTTAGACAATAAGTCAACCCAGGGCAGACTTCTCTGAAGCCCAAGCTCTGAACTACATGCCAAATAATCTGTATAATAAGACCCATATGAACTTCCTTAAGAAGCTAACTCAGGGTGCTAATGAGGCCCCGTGAGGAACTCCTCACAGGTTTCTTCTGGAGTAAGCAGAGGGCAGGCATGGGAAGTAGATGTTTCTCATTCAGGTTTATGAATAACAACAGAAGGGAAATAGGAAGAAAAGAGTCCCTCCAATTTACCAGCTCTTTGAATATTAAATTATAAGTCCTTAAGTTTAGTGGACATCAGTGTAGTTCTAGACTGGCCTTGAACTCAAAGAGATCAGCCTGCCCCTGCCCTCCAAGTTCTGGGATTAAAGGCATGCATCACCACTCCTGGCTAGTTTTTAAATAGGCATAACACATGTTAAAAGATGTGTGGGTTTACTACAATTGTCTAGGGATACTTTTCAGTCCCCCAGGTTTGAACAGGTGATGGAAAACTTTCGAACCCATAAGTAAATATCAGCATGGTTCCTGTTTGATCTCAAATCAGCCATAGTGTCTGGTCCCTGGTTGAGGTAGATTCTGATGGGATGTTACTCCCATAGGGCACATTCTGGGGACTGTCAATGCCTTGCCTCAGTATTTTAATCACATGGTATACTGGAGCACCCAAAAGGACAAAGTTAGGGCTACACTGATCTTATAAATCAGATAGACAAATTGCTTTGCCAATTTACTGCTGGATATTTGTTTAACCACTACATGCAGATCTGTTTTTCCTGAAAACTGGTTGAGTTATAACTGGCAGTGAGGACATGCAGAAGTAGCTAACTCTGACCTCTGACCTCTGACCTCACACTTCTTTAGAGGTTATCATTGCCATGTACCAGGAAGTGTGACTATGCACATACAACCAAATGTGCTCTGCGGCCCCTGGGGTATCATGATAGTCAAGGACCTCATGGTCCCAAAGAGTAAACAGTTGGGACAAGATTTATAATTTAATTAAAAACTTTAGGAGGCCAGAGAGGTTTAAATGCAGTTTATTCAGATTACGGGAACTCTTGCTTTGTGGCTAGTGGTCTGTTTTGGGCAAATCAGACTTATACATCACTTAATTCTTTGCCTACTTCTTTGCCATGTCACCCAGAGCAATGTTTCATCCTGTCTGTCTATTGAAGTCACCTGAACACTGGATTCTTGGCCCTAGGGATTCAGAGCTAACTGCTTGGAATGGGCTCAGGTATCAGGTTTTCAAAAAAGGGCTTCCAGCTGATGCTGCCCTGATGCATAGTTCTGGGTGGGAAATCTCAGTCCATTGTAATTTTCTAATGTGAATGAGGGGGAAAGTTCTGTCTTTCTCCCCAGCTTTCTGGACTTTTCCCATCCCAGGACCCAAGGACAATGAGTATTTGTATGCTTCCTTGAGATAGGACAAGCAACCTAACTCTTGGTGCTCCAGGCTGGTGGCCTCCAAAGCTGAAGTGCATGGTATCTCAGCATATTTCAAAGCCCTGCTGATGTGTTGGCTTGGCAATACCCTTGGAGGTGTCTGTTCTTATTTCTTCTTAAGGTCTGGTTTATATCATCCCAGATAGATGGCTGGGGATTCTGCTAAGATACAATATTCCAGTTTAATTGTTATAACGTGACACAGAGTATTTGGTGTTGGAGTTCAGAGCCTGGGCTTTAGAGCAGTCAGCCCTGCTTAGATACAGTCCCCACTGTAACTTGCAGCTTTAATGTCCCCAGACCAGGCAGCTGGCCTCCCTAGTTTCTTCTCATATGACAGTGATGTCACAGACACTCAGAGCTGTCTGGATGAGGACATCACTGGGTAAAGCATCATCAGTCCTCAGTCTGTAACAACTTTTTAAAGTTGAAATTGCCTTAAATCTTGTCTTCCAGAATAGCATTGGCTAAAACTCCATATTATTTATATATTTGAGGACAGTAGTCACTTCTCCAAGTCTCCCTTGCCTCAACTTCCCCATTTTCATTCCCTTGAAGACCTTTCTTGTGCTAAGGCTAGCTTACTATGCTGGGCCTAGAGAGAGGCTGGTGTAATGCCTGGGACAGGGTACTGTGACCCTCGCAGTGAGTGCTGCCCTGGCTTGATGACTTTGTGGCTCCTTCTCCTGACTAGGCCTGGCCCTGCTGCTTATCTTGTCCTGGGCCCCAAATCACACGTTTGGAGCAGGAACTCCAAGTATGTAATTATGTGAGATGGTGTGGGTCCACGTGAGGGTTATCTGTAGGCCATAGGCATTGAGTGTGCTGATACAAACAGTCAGGACAAGGTAAGCGGATTTGGGCAAAACCACGCT